ACCTGTAGTACACTTTCAAATTTTTAATAATGCCTGTGGGATAAAGCAAAGCAAAAGAAAGTGGAAGAAAGGAAGGAGGAACATATGTTTCTTTTCCTAGGAAATCTGAAAGTAGTCATAACACATTTTTAGATTCAAATTTTTAAAAAACCACTGACTTAACACCCCACCCTGCCTTTATCCCAGTCAGCTCTCAGGCAGCTTTCATGAGAAAGTCTGCTAGAGAGAAAGTCTGATTTCTCTTTATGCAATGTGCAGTTTAGTTTTTAAGCATGTTTATTTTGGCCAAAATCTAGTTTGTTTTTTCCACAGTGCAACGGCTTTGTTGTACTTGCAGTTGTCTTTTTATGTCAATAGCACAAGGGGGCATTTTGAAGACTTCCTTGCACATGCATGAGGGGTGATCTCTTGTTTATGTACATCTCTGGAGCCATCATACATCTGTGGCATACTTATACTCTGTGATTGCTAATAGGATTCTTACTATTAAGGTTTATGGGCCACAATTCAAACTGATGAAAAAACATGCCGAGAAGGGCAATCATGCAGCATTTTCCCCCTCGTGCATTTAGCCACTCGGCCAGTCACACACCAGTTTTGCAACCACAGAAAGGAGTAAATGATTACTTGCTTGCCCTTATGTGATCACATAAGTGAATGTGATTCTCTAACTGAGTTTACTTCCATGTCAGCATGCACAGGATTGCAGTCTTGCATCAAACAAACAAATCATATCCTTAGGACTGGCCACAAACCAGCAATGAGCAGCTCCTAAAATTCTTCACCATTGGCAGTTAGGCTTATAGAAAATGCAGCTCAGCAACCTCAGAAGAGCTATGTGTTTCTCACTCCTTGCATAAAATCTGTGTTATATACTGTCAAGTCAGAATTGACTTACAGTGACCTCAACAGGACTTTCAAGGTAACTGAAATATTTAAGGAGTGGTTTTACTAGTTCCACACCCCCAATAAACTTCCATGGCTGAGTGGGGATTCAAACCCAGGCCTCTTGAGTCCTAGTCTATCACTCTATCCACTATGCCACATTGGGTATCCCAAAAAGTCACCTCTATAAAATCTATAAAAAGTATCACAAACAATGGTGTTCATTGTACAGCCATAAGCATAGAAAAGCACAAAATCTGAGACAGCTGCCACCAATAGAAAATTTGATGGACTCAACCAGCATTCTGGACAATTTTCAAAAGGGACTGGATGGTACTGGACATCCTTAGAAGACACTCCTCTCAATTTAGGGATACTAGAAAAAGAGAAGATCTGGGAGGTTATCTGTTGGAATTTATCTGTTGTAGAAAGGAAAGGCAGATCATGGAAGTACTACATCATACAGAATGAGGAGCTTTCTGACACTTGGAAGACTAGTCTTTAAGGGACCACAAGAATCTTCAGTATTTCTGCTATACCATATTACAGTGGGGTCTTGACGTGAGAACTTAATCCGTATTGGAAGGCAGTTCTCAAGTCAAAAAGTCTGTAAGTCAAGTCTCAATTGACCTACAGTGCATTGAAAACCGATTAATCCCGTAACAGGCCGTTTTTGTTCCATTTTGGTTTTTTTCTGGTCTGTAAGTCAAATCTGTCTGCAAGTCAAACCTAAATTTTGCGGCCAGAGAAGTCTGTAACTCAAAAAGTCTGTAAGTCAAGCCGTCTGTAAGTCAAGGGTCCACTGTAACATGACTACCTGTTTGGGACTTCATATAGATCAGGCTTGTCCAACCCGTGGCCCGAGGGCCACATGCGGCCCAGGTCAGCTCGTAATGCGGCCCAGTGCAATTTTTTATTTTTAAAGAAATTCCAAAGTTTCAAGTTACACTGCCGGTGCTTGCGGTCGGAATGTGGCCGGGGCATGTCGCAACAGTAGAGGGGGAGAGAGGGCAGGAAAGAAGGAGCGGGAGGGGAGGGGAGAGAGGGGCTCCGTGACTGCATTGCACCATCTCCGTCAATAGGTGGACCCCCACCCGGCCCCATAAAGCCGCTGGAGTCGAAGCTGGCAGCCTCTGCTATCTGAGATCACAGCTGCCGGTAAGCGCGCTTGGAGCGGGGCTGCGGAGGACGGCTAGGCCTGCCCCCCCATGTGGCCCAAACCAAATGTATATGCGGCCCAAACCAAAATTTCATCTTCTAATGTGGCCCAGGGAAAGCAAAAGGTTGGATACCCCTGATATAGATTATCTAGTAGCTACTACTAGGAATATTGTTTCAAAAGAGAACCTGAAATATATACAGTATCACTGATTCAAGTTTCTGCTTTATGGTGCTTAGAATCAGAGTTACATAGATCTGCTGCTACTATTCTTGTATGATGAATTGGACAACAAAAAACATATCTTGGCACACTGATATCAGTTCTAATCTTTCCATGGTTTCATTAGCTCCCATAAATAAATCTAAAACCTCAACCTGCTGAACAGGGGAACAGAGAAAAATATGTAAAATACTGGAAGGCTAATATATAGCACAACATTAGAAGCTTTTCTGTATTAGAAGCTATGTACAACAAATACACATAAATTAAAGTAATAATGCTAGAGATGCTAGAAATAACTAATAACCGAGAGATAGTGGAAATAAGAATCCTCCAAGTCTGTCACAGCTTATGTCACCAGAGTCCCTCGAGGGACTCAGAATCCCATTATGGACAACGAAGAGTACATTATTCTTTATATTATTACATTTTGTTATATGGCACTGCAGTACTTCGATGGCAGCTTGACAAATCACAATATAGATGCAATTCAGAGACATATTTAAACAGCATTGTCAGGCTGAGTGCCAGCTAGGAATGTGCAGTGTGTTTGCTTCAGAATTCCACAATGAATTCAAAACACAGTGAACTGTCCATATAGACAAAGAATTATAAAATGAATATTTATAAAAGGATAAAACGAAGTGGTTAATCCACTGGGGACAATGATCTATAATGCTGTTTTAGAGTTTGTTGTAGCTTTGCAAGAAAAAAAAAAGTCAGCTTCCTAGTTGCCTGAGATAGCAAACCCTAAGATTATGAGAAGGCCTTAATCTTGGGAATGAAAAATATTTGCTAAGGGAAAACACACTTTGAAATCACAGTTGTATGTTTACATCACACACACAAGATTGGAATCTGAGACAACAATTTTTCTTTTGTGAAATATTTAACACACATGCTGCATATAAATGAAGGGGTGAAATTTTAGTAAGTTCTTCTTTGCAGTACAGTATTTCAGATTTCAATTAGAGGTGTATGGACTGTATGCATGTGTTAGTTTGTGACATGACTGGAATACCTAATCTCCAGTGTGTTAAATTCTTATACTCATCTAAGTCACATGGGCCAGAATTCTATTGAAGATTTATGCCAGTGTAAATATAATTGCACAAATCATAGCAGTGAATTGTCATTTATTTGCAAGTTGCTGACTGAATTCTCAGTCATGTGACAATTTGCATAACTAGCACACACTAGGAACACAAGTAGCAATCTGTCAATTAGCAGTGGTTCACCACCATGATTTAAGTAATTACACTTACACCAGCATAAAAGATTGCAGCCACTGAGTGACTGTACTGCAAGGCAGCAATCCTATGTATATTTCTCTAGGACTTATTTCCAACCAATATCTATAGAAAAGGGCTATATATTAAAAACAACAACACAAAAAATTCAAAGAGCATTTGCTGTGGTTGATTTAATATACTGAATGGAGCTATAGGTTCTCCTAATGAACAACCTCATTTGTTCTGTATTATGAGGGAGAGGCAATGTATCTCATCCCTTAAATGGCATTACATGCTGTAGGCTTAGCTTCACAGAAATATAGGAAGCTTCCTTCTATTGGCTGAAAGCCTGTTGCTTAATATAGCAACTTGCAACTAGAGGAGGCCCACTGAATCAATGGAACTTTATAGAGAAGGTGACTCACCAGATCCTGACTGATTCAGTGGGCCTACTCTAGTTGCTGAAAGCCTGTTGCTTAACATAGCAACTTGCAGCTAGAGGAGGCCTACTGAATCAATGGAACTTTATAGAGAAGGTGACTCACCAGATCCTGACTGATTCAGTGGGCCTACTCTAGTTGCAACTTGCAGTCCTAAACAGGATTTTAGCCACTGGGTCCCAATTTTGATTCATCTAAACCAGTGGTTCTTAACCTTGGGTTACTCGTGTGTTTTTGAACTACAACTCCCAGAAACCCCAGCTAGCACAGTTGGTGGTGAAGGCTTCTGTGAGTTGCAGTCCAAAAATACCTGAGTAACCCAAGGTTAAGAATCACTGATCTAGACCACTATTGTCAACACTGACTGGCAGTGGCTATCTAGGGTTTTAGGCAGGGTTCTTTTCCAGATTTACCTGGCAATGCTGGGGTCTGAATGTGGGATACACTCATGGGATAAGGGTCTGCTACTGATCTATAGCTCTTCCTGAACAATAACAAACGTTCATGTCACGGAACTATACAGTGGCTAAGAACTGGAAGAGACCTGACACAGTTGGTTTCACATTTGAGGAGAGGCCCTGCATAGAGTGAAAACTGCAGGCAGTAGCACTCCTAAGCAGTGTTACAATCAGCATCCAGGGACTAAGGATGCTTAGTCCAGCACAAGAAAAGACAAAAATGAAAATTAATATTAACAGCATATTGACAATATCCAAGGATGCTGCTAAATCAGGAGAAATGTGAGGTATTGGGCAGGAAGGTATCTCATACCCACCACTGCTCAGAGCTCCAGGCAGCAATGTTTTTAAATGATGGATCTGGGCAGAAAATCACTAATGGGTGTTGCTGGGATGCAGGAGTCCTGGCAACTGCCCAAATATATCAAATTCTAATGACCAGCCTGTGATATGGTCTGACCAGCCTAAAGGCAGGATACCTTTCATCCCCTACACCATCAATTCATGGATCCAATCTTTTAATCATGAAGTGAAAACTTTGGCCACAAATACATTCTAAAGATTTTTCCTAATTTATACTGTAAGAATTCCAGAAGCAACCTACGATCATACGCTGCCTTAGCAATGGCTTTTGCTGCATTTTTCTGAAACTCAGGAAGAGTGGAAACTTCAGTGAAGGCAAGTAATTTTCTGAGACCTCCTGTCTCCTGTATCAGTTGCATAGTATCCACATCCTCAAGACAATTTGCCACTACTCCAAGAGCTTCTACATGTAGATCATTAAATTCCTAAAATATAAAGAGAAGGATTTTTTCTGAAGGATTAGAAGGTTTACAAATGGTTTACTTAACTGGGTAGTACAAATATAATAGTCTTCAAGGGACCACATGCTTTTGTCTTTTTCATTTTGTTTTGTTTTGTTTCTTTGGATTTTACCTGTGTAGTACAATGTGTGTCATTTGTTTGCCCCCATTAAAAATTTTATTTATACCTTCCCTATTAAAATACTGCCCAATTATGTAATATGGCTTTCTGTAACCTTTTTAAAAGTCAGACTAGACCCAACCATTTTTCTGTGGTAGATCTATGTGAACAAAAATGGATATATGGATCTACCAAGCAGATATAAGCAACCATGTGTTAGCCTATTTGGAACAATTAAAACAAGAAGGGAAAGTATTTCAAAGATTCTGACAGAAGAACAGATATCTTAATATTTCCATCAATACAGATGAGAAAAAGGCTTCATGGATTAACTTTGAGATAAATGTGGTAAATTAACAGATTTTTATTTTTTTAAAAAAACCCTAAATTTTCTATAATCCCAACTGCAGCCAGATATAATGAACTTTAAAACAAAAATGCCTTTTTTATATCAAAAATTTTGTGTCATCAAATAAAACACCAGCATAATAAATGTATATATTCTGTCTCATCTGGAAACAAAGTACATCGGGATTTTTTCTCACACATTACTGCATTTTCTCGCACATGATTTTTTGCAGACTGAAATTATTCATTTCCTAAAAGTCAGTTCTTCTACCATGGGACAAGTTCTAATTTCATGTACATGGTACCTTAGTTTCAAGTATCTTGAAAAGGTGATCTAGTCCTTGATTTTCTCTCAGCATCACTCTGGTTTCTTTATCAGTGGTAATTATACCTAAAGTTTTGAGAGCTAACAACTGAATAATTGGATAGTCGGACTTGAGAAGTTCCAGCAAAGGAGGAATCACATTTAGTTCACGAGTTGCAGCACGGCTTTGAAAATCCTGTAGTAAAAACACCCAACAAAAATGATGTGAGTGGAAAACATAATACAGTAATACTTAACATATTGGGGCTTTTGAGAAATGACCTTACAAGAACAAATGCTGAAACATGGCATTCTAGTCTGTTGTCAAGTTTCCAATGTCAAAAATGATACATTAAACAGAACAATTCTCAGCAAGCCTCACTTCTAGATAATTCAATATGCATTTTCATGTTCTTTTCATGCAATAGTTTACATACTTTTCAGGAAGAAACTTAGAAAAACTGGTAGCACGTTGTGTTAATTTTAGAAGAGAGTCAATGCAATGCATTTTGATCACTCTGAGTGTCAGGAAGATATTTACATACTTCTCTGCAGTTTCTTCACAGCTCTGTTTCCTTCTTTTTTAAAAACAAACGAACAATTAAATGTTGAAAACATTCTCACTAAATATTTCATCTCATTCTAGCAATAAATCACCCCAAATGAGTGGCTGCTTGCTATGCAGTATTAAAACGGATAAAAATAAAAAGTTTTAAGTTAAAAAACACCATGCTGAGCATGCTTCCATGCAATTTCCCCTATCAGTTTCAGCAAGCACCAGGTGCAGTTGTCCAGATATATCTTACAACAAAGACAGCTAGATAGCAAAAGAGGGGAAAGAGCGAAATGTGATTTAGAATAAAGACATGCTCTGGTGCCCTAGAAAAGATTGAGCTGTGAATTGAATTCATTACTTAGTTGATTCACTTCATAGGCCGATCCACAACACAAGTCAGTTGGAGTGCTTGGACTTAAGCCAATTTGGTACCATTTAAGTCAATGGTGCTAAATCGGCTTAAACTTTAGTGTTTCAGCTTCAATGGATTATGGATCAGGCTATTAGACTCTGAAAAGAACCCCTGTACAAATGCGCTATTCTTTTGCCAACCAGCATATGGTGACATTAATACTGATTGTGAAAGTAACCAATTACAATAACCTTCCTTTCCTTATGAAAGGGAGCTGTCAAAAGCATTTACCAAGAGTTAGGAAGATGTGCACAATTGTGATGCGTTATGAATGAATAAGGCAAAAACAATTTCTGATCCATTCCTTCTTCCTAAGGCAGCCATAACGCCCTTAGGAAGGATCAGATAATTTTTCTGTAAAATGAAAGGATGATAGATTTTAATGCATTTCTGTATTCAAAATGCTTTGCTTTATACACATGCAAATACAGTTTGTTTTAATTCATGCTAAGCACACTTAATTGGAAGCAAATTCCAGTGGAATCAATGGGACCTGCCATTACATAACTCACTTCAACCCAATGCAAGAGAAATCCTCACATTACAGTTCACAGATGTCACTACCCCACCCAGTGTTCAGAACCTGCATGCAGAGCCAAGACATGCATGCAAAATAACAGCACTACTTTAGGAGTGAAATGGGGATATCAAACTCCTCCTCTTACTTAATGTGATCAGCAATATGAGCAATACTGTGAGAAAATAATTTTTGGAGTCAATAGTCTCAGTAAGAGCAACTTTTTCATCCTTAACGTGACTTGTTCCAAAATGAAATACTCCCAAGTTTGAGAATCTGCATGTCTGAAAGGCGTTTTGCAAAAACAAAACCCATACAAAACTATGTGAAGAGTTAAAAATGCAAATATCTAAAATACATACAGCTGGGAAAATATAACTCTCTCTTAGTCATGATGTGAAATGTACAATTAAATACACACTGTTGGAAAAATAAACAAAAGTGTGTATGAATGTTAACATAGGAAGAAAAAGCAAAGTCTCATTAGTCAACATGAAACAAGAATGGAAAAAAAACCCTCCAGGGCTGATTCAGAGAAATACAATTGAGACTGAAAGATTCTCACATCTTGAGCAGCTGGTGACAATGCTGACCACCAGTTAGATTTGGAAAGGAAGGGTAGAAGAGGAGAGATCTACAAGCACAGTATTGGACTATATAGCAGATTCCAAGATCAACCACCTCCAGCTTGCATCTTTCCAATTGTGGTCAATTATAGCTCCCATCATCCCCAGGCAAAAAAGCAATTGGGTGGTGCAGTCCAACATGTATGGAAAGTGACAGGCTGTAGAAGACTACCCATGTTTAGGAAATAAGGAGGGTGGAATATGTTTGAGAATGGGGTAGCTGCAAAAAATTGGTGTTAATGAAAGAACAACTAAGGCCCACTCAGTTTCTAATCACAAACTGGATATTAATTTATAGGAAAGGGTATATAATTTTGCAATTAAAAAACAAGGAGAGGATCATCACCTGTACCATGTTATAGATGCATTCAACACAATTCTTCTTAACATCAGGGTCGGGACTTCCCAGCAATCTGATAAGTGGTTCCAATCCACCTTGCTCAAATATTTGTACTTTACTGTTATATTCAATTGCCATATGGACCAGACAAAGGCTGGCAAACTCATGGATGACTACATCTTCTAGAGCATAAAAATGAAATAGTGCAGTCAGACATTAACCACCAAGTAAATGTTCATTTGTTGATTGTCAACAAAAAATTATCGGAAACGCAATAAATAGCAGCTCTTAATCCAGGCTCATCTCAATTTGCAATACTCAAGCAAGCAAATAAATGTTATTTAAAAGGTCTCAACACACGACAACCCTACAAAAAGCTGTTATCAAATGATATAAGCAAATAAGCATTTACACAAAGCGGCTCTACTGGTTACCTTCTGGTGCTAGGCGAGCTATGAATGCACTAGTGGCATTAAGCTGCCGTAATGATTTTTTCACATCATCTGCAATGAAACAAATACAGATATGAAGCCATACATTCTGTTAATTGTAGGGAAATATTGCACAATCAGAACTGATGGCACAGGCTTGATACTATTATTTAATTCTACAAGGGGTGAAATAAACACATTGGTCTAAGAGGAACATCAAAGGTAATGGATATTTCTCTGGGAGCTGACATAGAAAACAAAATGACAAGAAATTGGGGGGGGGGAACCCTGAAAAGCAAGCAACTGCCAAAATAGAAGTTCATATCCTTATTTTCCCGAACAACATCATATAAACAAAAATATTCCAACAAAGAAAGAAAACAAATCACCCAGTTACTAATTTTGGCAACATTTACACAACAGATTTCATTCTTAAGTTGTTTTTTTTAAAAAAAGCATTCTTGAAAGCTTTATGGATTGTTACCATTTTAAATAATTGTGGGGGGAAACAACAAATTTAATCCAATTGAGAAATGTAATATCAAATGCAGTACAGTATTCTTGTTCCCATTATCATTTCATAATTTATTATACACTTTATCAGATCTGGACAGGAATTATTCACATGGTCCATGTTTTTTCACCTCATTTCCACCTTATACTCTCTCTAGGTAAAGCAACGGAGGTCAGCTAACTGCATGCACTTGTTCCTGCTCTTATAGCACATACCAATATAACATTGACCAATATAACATTTGAATATGATGAACTCACGCAAAATCCATAGCAATTAAATCCAAATAGATTTCACTCGCACACACCGAATCTAAGATTCAATCTAACAAGCTGGCCTTCATGCACACATCTTAACTCAAATACTAAGACAATATGTGGGCATTTAGGTTGGCCAGGTCCACCAAGTGCACAACCTCAGTTTCTGATCATATAAAGTAGAGAAGAGGGTTGCTTAATTATATTTACATATGCCCAAATCCCAAACTTCTAATCACATGGAATGTCACCATGTCCAGGATACCATCTCACACATTATGGATTAATAGCAAAAGTGCCCAGCTTTGCTAGACCCTCCATCACAGTTGCCTGCTGAATTCCTTGAAAGACTTACTGAAAAGTAGGTTTCAGTTACCAGTGGAAGGAAAGAAGGCAAAGGGCCAACTACAGTTCCCAAGGAAAGGATTTTTCTTTTAATATTTGTAATATTTTCAGACCATGGATAAATGAATCAACAGATACTGATCCTGTGGATAAGGGGGTCCTACTATACTATATTTTCATCAATTAATGCTGGTCAGTATAGATAGCAAATTGAACTGCATATGTTCATAAAGAAGTGAGTCTTACTATGAGATGACATGATCCCAACAACCATGGTGGCATTTCTGCGGACAATAGGGTCTTCATGTGAAATTAACTTAAATAACGGTTCCATGGCTCCAAGCTCAAGAAGTGTAAGCTTATTTTCTTCACCTAAAAACCATATGTGAATGCCCCTTAATGTCAAACAACAAGATGAATTTTGCAATGGATATTGTTAAAAATGAAAAGGGTTGTCAACACATATAACAAGTAGAGAGGTAATAATCAGATAGCCAGGTGGTCCTGGGCATCTGTTCCTTCTTGATTCAAGCAAGTGCAGATTTATTGGTACATCAGTTGTTTTTTTCTTTCTCTTGGGAGACAGTTCATGTTTCCCTTTGACAGAAAGATGGTATACATGGGATCACCTCTATAATAGCTACCAGCATATTTTCATATATGGAAATAATTTTATGGAACTTCTGTAATCAAGTAACAGTATACAGTGGGGTCTCGACTTAAGAACTTAATCCGTATTGGAAGGCAGTTCTCAGGTCGAAAAGTTCTTAAGGCGAATCTGCATTTCCCATAGGAATGCATTGAAAACCATTTAATCCGTATCTGCTCTTTTTGTCCATAGAAACTAATGGAAAGCTGCTATTCCGCCTTTTGCCACTAGAGGGGGATATTTTTTTCTTTTTTCCTTTTAACCTAAGATGACTCAGCTTTTAAAAAAAGGAAAAAAAAGAGTTCGTAACTCGAATCTAAGTTCGTAAGTCGAGTCCATATATTCCTATGAGAGCGGTTCGTAAGTCGAAACGTTCGTATGTCGAGCCGTTCGTAAGTCGAGACCCCACTGTAGGGCTTTTTCCTTCCTGCACTTTTTTGAATAATGTAATACATGCAGATCTTTTACTTTTACTTAAACACAACTTCTACTGTGTATTTATTCCTATTTAGCAGCCTTACATTCAGCATGCTAAGTATAAATTGCTAGCATAAATATCAATTATTCTGATCAATATCAACACTACTTAAAAGCTAAGAATGTGCAGCTCAGTCCATTTCTGCTCAACCACTTCTATGTACATTAGTTCACATATTCATTCTTCCCTGTTTTTTCATTAATCTGCCTTTTTTCAAATTTACTTTTCAATACATTTCAAAATACATACTGTATTTTTGAAGTTTTATTTCAATGTGGATTTCAATGTGAATTTAGATAAATATATCAGATATATACAATCAAACTTGTTTTTCCTCTCAAAATTTGAATTTCTGAATTAATGTTTCTTGAGGCAAGTACTACACTGAAACTGGAAGTGCAAAATCCAGCAGACAACAATATTTTATCTTCATTTTAGTGACAGGAATTATGGATCAAGTCAGTTTGTACCAGAATTTACAAAGCTCAAACACAGAATCTTCACTGAAAAGCAACAACAGGTTGGGGAATTTGGACTTAAAGCGTAATAAATCTGCTAAATCTCTAAGGTGCCATCTTTGTTTTTTTGTTTTTCTGAAACAGGATAACACAGAATAGTCACATAGGCATCACAAAGAACTATGTGCCAGTTGTGCCTGTTCCTTGAGAGGTCTGGCCATGGTGACACATGTCTTAGTTATGTCTTGGCTGGATTACTGTAACACATTTTGTGTGAGTTGGACTTTGGAAAGTGTTCAAAAACTCCAGCGAGTCCAAAATGCCACAGTTTTAAATGGGGCTGGTTACAAGGAATATATAACTCCCTTGTTAGAGCAGCTCCACTGTCTGCTGACCTATTTCTGGACACAATTCAAAGTGATGATTTTTACTTATACAGCTCTAAATGGATTGGGTCTAAACTATCTAAAAACTATATCTCCCTTCATGAGCCTGCCCTGGTATTAACATCATGCTTGGGATACAGGAGAGGGCCTTCTCTGTTACTGCTGCCAAACTCTAAAATCCCTCCTACAGGGGCCATATTGACCCCATCTTTGCTGTCCTTCTCTTCAGACAGGCCTTCCTCTAAATGACTGGTTGACCAAGGGGATTTTTAAATAGGATTATTGTATTCTGTTTTACTTGTGTTACTTGTATATGTTAACTCACTTGTGCTTTTAACTGTGCTCTTTTATATAAAATTTAATCTGATATTTGTTTAATTATTTTAAAATATTTTAATAATTTATTGTTTTAACTTTTAACTTTGATTTTTTTTTATTACTATTAAGCCACACTGAATCCTTTAGGGAAAAAGCAGCATATAAATATTGGAAGGAAGGAAGGAAGGAAGGAAGGAAGGAAGGAAGGAAGGAAGGATATATTTCATCCAAAGGACACTGATTTGCATAAAATGGAATCTGCTAATCCATACATATAGATGGAACCTTAGAAATTATTTCTAGACTGACACAGAATTACATGGCCTCTTACTCCAATGGAAAAGACCATGAGTGTCTACTCAGCCTAGTAACCAGATGCTAAATGTTGATGAGCAACATTTAAGGCGTCTGTTGTCCTTTCTCCTTATGGTTATTTATTATTAAATTGAACTTAGATTATGCAACACTTCAAGTAGAGGGCACTTTCAAAAGAAAGGCTTCTTCTGGCAGCCCTTCAAATGGTAGACTATCTTCTTTAGGAGAAGACATGTGGCCGCTTCAAACACAGCTCCTCCTATGAAAATCCACTATACAGCAACAGAATCATATAACACATTTTACTAAATGCTAGTCAGATTATCTTGGCACCTAAAACACATTCTATCTCCACTGATAGTAAAAATGCAAAAAGAATAATCAAATTGTTAACAATCGCACAGCACCAAGAACTAGCTCCCGAAGGCAGCTACTTGACTCTGCCCAATGATAGGATCAGTCCTAATACTCAACTAGTTTGATGGAATTATATCACTCTGAACTCTGCATAGTATCTTGAATACTGCCACCACTTAAATATTAAATAGTAGGAGTAATTATTAATGAATGTATTTCCATTAGGCAAATTGATTAAATCATGGAAATATAAGACATGAGTTGAGATGTAATGACCATGAAAACAAACCTTTTGCTGCAAATTTATAGAGAGCTTCACATGCTTTAGACAAAACTTCTTCTTCAGGGGAATTAAGCATAAGCACTACTGTTGCAGCTTTCTTGCTTTCAACTGATAAAGGATCAAACTGAAAAACAAAACGGTAGCATCACGAGCAAATGTGAATCATAAACATCCCAGCTGCTCACTCTGACAGTCTATCATCAATAATAAAGAAATCTAACACTAGACACATAATGTGATATCTCAAATTAGGGCAGAAATGTGAGGATGATATTACAACTGTAAGAGTTCAGGGACTGGTTTCTTGGGATCAAATTTTCTGTGACTATGGAGAAATTAAATCAATGCAGCTTATGTGCATGCAATTTATGCCCCACCATGTATACAAAAGATGATCTAGCAAATGGCCAAGATAATGCTATTGAAGTAGCCTGCTTCTGGTCAAAAACAGTCTAATCATTTTAACTTTTTAACCTTTTTTTGGTTTCATATATATCCATAATTTTAAATTGTGCAACACTCTGCTACAAATAAAGAAAGAAAAGAAAGCAGTTATTCTCTGCATTTAGAAGCAAAGTTCCCTTCAGTGGCAAATGACATCTGTTTGTCCTAACGTAGGCTTTTCTAACTCCTATGTTTTTCAAATTAGCTTGCATTACTTTCTGATTGACCTCAGAAGCAGAATGCAGAGATAATTTGTAAGTCTCATTACTCAAGCACATAGCTCTGAGGGAATTCTATCACTGGAGGATGAACATGCTATGAGCTTTTGATCCTTACTTTGCTTGTTACTTTGATGGCAATTGAGAATTGTTGAGAGACAAAGCCAAAACCACAAAAAGACCATATCCACAAATATTAAAGAGTTCAAACATGGTGCTTTAAAATTTAGATAATATTATCCCCTTTATCCAGGAAAGGCAAATGTCTCGGTCCACAGGTAAACTCTGGCAACTTTTTAAAAAGTTTGATTCATTGATAAAGACTGGATAAATGTCTCCAGAACATCAATCCTAAACTCACAGAAAGAAATCAATGTGAATACAACTCTGGGTGGCATTGGGGAGAAGTACCTTCTTGTAAGGCCAGGCTATTTATCCTTTTGTTGCTTGTATACAGAAAATGTATAATCTCCCGCTCCAGGAAAACAATACACATCTTTCAGATACAATAAGAATACCAGAATGTTCTGTATTCATCTCCATCCTTTGTTTGCTTTTTAAAAAACTGTAAACTGTCTTTAGGCAATTATTGGCCTTCAACATAGCCTGATGAAATATCACTAAACACATCAATATGCTTATGTTCTTCCAGTTCCCTAACAGCACAAAATCCAGGAGCAGCAAGATGGGTTGTCTTCTTTTCAGAGGACAGATCACTTGCAGTTTATGGTATTTTTTTTTAAAGTAGGGTATGGAGCACAGGTAGAAGCAACCAACATTAACACACTCCTGGTGGGCAGAAAATATGCTTCCTTGTTATCAGAATGTCCCAAAAAGGTACTTATACCTCTTCTGGTTCTGTCTGAGCTTACAGTTAGTAACCCTTCTCTCTACCTCTATTTTAACGCCACTTTAAACATCTTTACATCTCCTCCACACTCCTTAACTCCCCTGTGTTAGCTGAGGTTGTCGCAAAGAAAATAGCTTTTTCATTCCAAAGAGCTCTCTGTATCTCTTTCCCACACAATCTTCTATTGAGCAAATGTTCCACCACTTGTCCAGGAACACAAATTAATACTCTGCTCAATAAAAGAAATGTGGTTTGACCACCTGCCAAAGGAATGTGTGGACTCCCAGACCAGTTTTTAACACTAGCAGCTCCTCCTGCAAAAAGGAATTAGAAAACAGAAATAAAAAATAAATTAACAAAAATCAAAAGCACAGTCTTAAAGTTACCACTACAGTTTGAGTCATCTAAATCCCAAGAATCATCTTTCTCTGTAATTTCTATGCATATGATTAGCCTTGTAGAATTAAATGGTTATACTCATCAAAATCCTTTAGGCTTTCAGTTTCCTTCTTGTTGCTCATAAAATATAAATTAGGAATCCTTCAAACCTAGCTGTCCAAATTCTTCATATTTGTTAAGTCTCCATGACACTGAATGGCCTAATGCAGTATGACAGGACTGTGCAATTCCATGTTGTGACACCAGAGCTCACTCACAGAAAAAGATATTAATGTAAGACAGCCTCCCTCAATCTGATGCTCTCCAGATGACAATCCCCATCATTCCGACCAAGAACTCTTCTGCCCCTTAAATACAGCAAATGATCATGTTTTCCCCCTTTCAGAAGCACTTACACATTATAGCTGTTAACTATTCTCTTGTAAACCACATACCCATGATCTCAGACACCCAAACCCCACATTACGAAGATGATGTTGGAAAAAATCCCCAAATAACTACATGTATTTCCAAGTCCACTACTATAAACCCCAAACATGTATTTTTCTGCTTCACTATGCTCTTGTTTCTGTAAAGTTCTGTGTCTGTAGTATTTCCTTTTGTTGACCAAAACAAAAATAAAACAAAATCTTGAATCCACTTTCCCAGGAAACATTGTTTCTCAATGGAATGTTGTAGAAATCTTCTTGGTGCTCTGGAACCAGATCCCAAGGCACTTCTGGTACAAAAATCCACCTACCTGTAGTCAAATTCAATCTCAAGAAGTTAAGCAGATGCAATTCTAAACAAGATATAGGATTTTTGGTCCCTGAACTTCCATACAAAGAGTCATGTTAGAAAAGATTCTCTTTAGTCCAGTATCTTATTTCGGTAAGAGCAAACCAGATATGCAATGGTAAGCCCAAAAGTAGACCATGAGAACACAGCTATTCTCCAACAAGTAGTATTAAACGTCCTGCACACTCCAACTTCCAACACCTCTCATCTCATTCTCTGAGACATTATAATCATGTGTCTAGTACCCAAATATATTCCTTCTCCTGCTTGCCATATCTTAACAGCAGTGACAGTTGTAGCAGCAAGAAGGAAAAGGGAGAGCTTTCCCCCTATATCTTTCAACCTCTCTCTCCGTTTCTGCTTCCAAAATTTGTAACAATGGAAACATTTAAGTTAACCATTAGAACTAATAATAATAATATAATTTATTGTCATTGTAAGTATATACACAGTATACCATACAACGAAATTCACAGACACCCAGAGACCAGACACATGCACACACATAACATTCCCCAAACACTCCCCACCCACTAGAAGTCCCCCACTAAAAATACAAACATCTACACCTCAGGCCAAGTAACACAGTCCAACTAATTATTCACTACTGGTGGTCTTTAAGCTCATTATTAATTGCAATTATAGCTCTAGGATAAAAACTATTTAGAAAACGTGTGGTCCGAGTCTTAATTGTTCTATATCTTCTGCCAGACGGTAACAGTTCAAAAAAGTTATAAGCAGGATGGGAAGAGTCTCTCAGGATGCTGTGTGACTTCCTCAGACAGCGGGATGTGAAGATGTCATCCAGGGTTGGTAGCTGGAGCCCGATGATATTCTGGGCAATTTTAATGGTTCTCTGTAGAGCTTTTTTGTCCGCTACAGAGCTACACCCAAACCATGCCAGAATGCCATAGGTTAGGACACTCTCAATGGTGCTACGATAGTAGGACAGAAGTAAATGCTGTGATAAATTTAACTTCCCAAGCATTCTCAGGAAATACAGCCTCTTCTGTGCCTTCTTTATTAGCATGTTGGCATTTATAGTCCATGAGAGGTCCTCTGAGATGTAAGTACCCAGAAATTTAAAACTACCAACTCTCTCCACTTCCTCACCGTTTATGTACAGTGGTAAATGTACATTTCTCTTCCTCCTAAAATCAATTATGAGTTCTTTAGTTTTTTTGATGTTAAGTGTGAGATGATTTTCTTTACACCATAGTATCAATCTTTGTACTTCCTTTCTATAAGCAGACTCATTGTTCTTATTTATGAGCCCCACCACTGTCGTATCATCCGCAAATTTAATAATTGCATTGGTGTTATATAGTGGGGTGCAATCATGTGTGTACAGGGAATAGAGGAAGGGACTCAGCACGCAGCCCTGGGGAGCTCCTGTACTTAGTACCAGGGTAGAAGAATGGTGGGATCCCATCCTTACTGACTGTGGCCTATCTGTCAGAAAATCCTTTATCCACATGCAGATCTCCTGAGGTAATCCCAGGTTGATCATTTTTAAAAACAACCTATTTGGTAGAATGGTGTTAAAAGCAGAGCTATAATCCACAAACAACAGCCTCGCATAAGTTCCCTGATGTTCTAAGTGGCTCAATACAGTATGGAGTACAATGGACACAGCATCATCAGTAGATCTATTTCTCCTGTATGCAAATTGCCATGGATCCAAAGAAGGTGGAAGACTAGCCTTAATGTAATCCAGCACCAATCTCTCAAAACATTTCATAATAACAGATGTTAAAGCTACTGGTCTATAATCATTGGGAGATACCACAGCTGACTGCTTCGGGACTGGCACTATAATAGATGTCTTCAGGCAAGTGGGGACAGAACACTGCAACAAGGATAGATTGAAAATATCCGTAAAAACTCCAGCTAATTCTGCAGCACAGCCCCTAACAACTCGTCCCATGATTCCATCTGGTCCAGCTGCCTTTCGAATATTAATATTCTGGAAAGCGCGTCTCACATCTGAAATCTGCAGTACTAGTGGTTGTCTGTCGATGGTAGATTCTAGTGATGTATTATGGACAGTAGGTGCTGGAATAATGGTTGTTCCTGTTTCCACCTCAAAACGGCTGAAAAATTGATTTAACTGCTCAGCCAAAAAATCACAGCTGCTACACAGACTGTTTTTGTTACTCTGACCAGTGATTTGTCGTAGGCCGTGCCACACTCGGCGAGTGTCAGAACTTTCAAGGTGTTGTTCAATTCTCTGGCTGTACATAGCTTTGGCATCCTTAATGCCCCTTTTCAGTTTAGCTCTAGCCTCTCTGTACTGTAGTTCATCACCAGAATGAAAAGCAGCATTTCTGGCTTTTAATAAAAGGCGCACTTCTCTATTTAGCCAAGGCTTGTTATTAGAAAACACTCGTACTTGTCTGGTAGTAGTAACAACATTGATGCAGCTTTTGATATAAA